TGAGACTGAAGGCTTATACGGTACGTGTGCGGGTACGCCGGGAACACGCACAAGCTAACATGCGGCAGCCGATGTGTTTGCCAGCGGAGACCGACTCGAGGATGTCGCTGCACGATGGGTCGCCCGCTTCAACGAGCATGAAGCAAAAGCTGTGGCTGAGATTGTCAACCTGGTGCTGCAAGCTTCGGGCTGCGACCTGCGGATAAATGAAGACGACATAGCAGATCCAGACAATGCGCCAAACCGCGTAGCCGAGATTCAAGAAGAATTCCAGCAGGTAGGCTGCGGTACTTCGCACACGACTCTTCACTTGTTAACACATCGCAGTACGAAGTCACAGAGTACCCGCTGATCGCCAAGGCCAAAGACGGCGGAGGCAATGCTTTCAGGAACGCGCTACAGGGCTTTTTCATCACTCTCATACAAACCGCTGCGCAGTCAGGCCTTCTGTATGAGAGCGCAGAGCTTATCGAGAATATCTCGGTGTGGCTGGGCGCCATGTCCTCGACCGGCAACCGTCCTTTCCGTCACACAAGCACGGTTGCTTCGTTAGCCATCACGACTGCACTAGCCCAAGTTGCCGCCGATCTCGTCGAGAACACAGCAAAGCGCGTTCGTCAAAGCGAAGCGGAAGCCAAGAAGTCTAGAGTCAACAAAGCACGTGTCTCCGCGGCGGACCACGAGATAGAAGAGTACAACCAGAAGCTAGAGTTCGTGGGAGGGCAGCTAGATGATTGGTTCGCCGCAGTCTATGTCCATCGTTATCGCGACGTGGATCCTAAGATTAGAGTCGACAGCGTGGTAGCGCTGGCAGACTGGATCATCGCATACCCCGACAAGTTCTTCGATGGCACGAAACTTCGCTACTTGGGCTGGGTTCTCTCAGATCCAAATCCATCGACACGCATAGAGGTTCTCCACCAGCTCGCGCGGCTCTTCAAAGATGAGAGTAAATTGGCTGGACTGAAGACCTTCACGGAACGTTTTCGACCACGTATTGTCGAGATGGCCACGCACGACGCCGAGGTCAATGTGCGTGCTGCAGCCGTGGACTTGCTCGACATTCTTCGCGAGGCAGGCTTCCTAGAGCCTGATGACATCGATTCCGTCGGTAAACTCATCTTCGATTCCGATGCAAAGGTCCGCAAGGCTGTGGTAGGCTTCTTCGCTGAGAACGTCAACGCCGCATATGAGGCCACCGTAGAAGACATGGGAGGCGAAGAGGCTCTCAATGAAGCCTTGGCGCCAGCCGACGAAGAGGAGGAAGAATACCACAACCCCCGACTGGAATGGCTGAAATTGAAATGCCTCATCGATCAGCTGCTCTCATACGACGAAGACGAGGTTGAGCTCCCTTCACAGATCCAACGCATGTCTCCTGGCACAGAATTGGAGCTGATTGCCAACGGAATTGAGACCCGCTGCTCGCTCGCGGCTCAAGCGCTGTACGACGTTGTTCCAGAAATCCGATCATGGGAGGTTGTAGCTGGCTATCTCCTCTACGACCATTCTCAGACTGCGCAGGACGAGAGCGAAGATCCCGAAATCATGCTTCGCCAAACATGTCGGCTCGAAGAGAAGCATGAGACTGTTCTCCTGGACATTTTGAGTGCTGCGGTCCGTATTCGGCTACAGCGCTTCGCAGACATGCAGAAGGATAAGAAGAAAACCAAGACGCAACGCGAGAGCGATAAAGAAGAGCAGTCAGACATGGCTCGACGACTCTCCTTGCTCATTCCTCAGCTTCTGAAGAAGTTTGGCGCTATACCCGAAACTGCAGCATTGTGTCTTCAGTTGGAGCGTGAGCTGAACCTCGACGTATTTGAGGAATTACGGCAGAATGCAGCTCTCATAACACTGCTTGACGACATCAACAAACAGTTCCTCACTCATCACAACGAGCGCGTCCTTGGAGAAGCTATCAAGTCTATACTTCATGCACAAGAGAGCGAAGATTTACGAGAAACCGTGGATCTTAAGGTGCAAGCGCTTTGGGATGACCTGGTCAACACGTTCGACGCGCTTCGACGAGACAAGGATCTGTCCGTGCGAGGTAATCTTGATGAGAATGTTCTTCGTGGGCTATCCAATGTCGTATTGAAGATGTCGCAACTAGCAGTTGTCTCGAACGCTACTCTGCTTGAACAAATTGTTACTCCTGCAAAGTCGAAAGGCAAGGGGAAGAAAGCCGCCCTGAATACGCCACCTGTCGACTCAGTACTGCAGATAATCGAGCGCGGAATACTGGTCGAAGAGGCAGACGGAGGAGTTGAGGAGGCGGACGACACTCTTGTCAGTCATGCAATCTACTTAATGTTCGGATACTTCATGTGGAAGTGCAAGGCTTGCACTATTCATGTCGAAGAAGGTACCAGCATGCCTGAAGACGAACTCATGGCCTTGGTCGAGCGAAGAGATAATTGCGTCGCATCACTGATGAAAATTATGGAGGGTCGAAAAGGCACATCCGAAGTACGACTAAACGCGACAAACCTTTTCCTAGACATCCACACCATGTTTTGCAACCTTAAGGTCAAGAAGGAAAGGATGGTGAAGACGCCCAAGAAGACGCAGGGTCGCGGTTCACATGCAGCCAACGACGACTGGGAAGCTCTCTGTCGCGACATCGATGGTAACACTACGAAACTCATTCTCCAGATCCTTACGGCCTGGGAGAACTATCTGGCTAAGCTCACCCACAAGCGCTTAGAAGAGCCAGACATCGACGATGAGCCTATCGATCCGGACGACGAGCCTGAGAGTGACGAAGAAGACGCTGCGGACGAGCATGGTGTATCCGAAAAGAAAGTGCGCGCTCTTCTGGTAGACGATCAGTTCTGCCGGTTCGGCGCGCGCATTGTACATGCAATACATGCCGGGGCCCTCGACAGCGATGGTTCAGGCGCAGTGCGCAAGCGTCTCGAGCGTAACAGATTGAAGCTCACATTAAACTGGAGAGAGGTTGTGAATCATCTCGATGCCTCCAAACAGCGCAAAGTCACCAAGAAGATATCAAAGTCGGTTAAGCCGAATGCCGCATCGGCTAAGAGCGCAGAAGTAGTTGAGCTAGATAGCGACGAAGAAGAAGAGCAGGAGCACGAACAGGAGGTCCCTGGTGACGGGATTGAGGATGAAGAGATGGCTGATGGCGATGCCGAGCAGACTAACGGTGTGGAGCCAATTGCGAATGGCGAGGAGGATGCCGAAGTTAATGGTGACGAGGAGAGCATTCTCGGTGATTGAGTATGAATGTGGGTTTACGATTGTTTACTTCGTCTCTTCGAGTTCGTTCTCTACGCACATTTACGGCAAAGCACATTCAGAGGCATGTCCTCTGATGTTTCTTATCGATTTGTTGCTGTATATCACGGCTGCAGCATGGCGCTCCGGCGTTACCATGATATCTAGGTAGGCCGTCCGGCCAATGCTACAAGGGTTATGGCGCTTCCTCTGTACGTAGTTCCAAGGGGCGATTTCATTTCGCTTTGACACGATGAAATAGTTTAGAACAATGATCTCCATCTTGCAAACATGTGATGGCACGATAGCTATTGACTGCTGGTTGGCTGAAGTTTCGATGAGCGCCGCTTCATGCTTCAGTGGCCACTGCGACTTCGCAAGTCCTAGGGATGCATGTCAATGCTTCCAGCCCCAGGCCACGTGAATGCCGCGCATAACCTTAGCTTCCAAGGTTAAGCGACTCCGGGAGTCTGGAACCTCACCACCTCCCGTCCACGATCACCTCTGGTCCGGTGAGTCCGCATCATGCGAGGTCGCCTCCACGAAACCCTACTGATCCGAATGCGCATTTGATATTTCTCATGAGCATCCGTAATGGGGGTAGCGCCAATACGAGCGCTCCGCCCCTGCCTCCGCACATGCAGTGCCAAGCCAGACGTCGTCGAGGAAGACCCAGCTGAGTAGCTCTGGATCAGCCACGCTTTTACTTCATCGCTTCTCTCTTCCCGTTTCGTCTTTCGCAAGTCGGAGTTTTCGCATTCCTTCTCTCGCGTCTTGTCAGATCTGCAGGCTGTGAAGCTTAACAGACACCAAAATAGTCCATGATGCAGATCAGACACTGCAAGCCTCATTCTTGGCACGACAAGCTCAAAGCTGAAGACTTTGCCAGCGCATGCAGTCAGCAGCTTCTTGACTTTGTGTTCATGTTACTTCGCGCGCCTTGCCCACGTTTCGCATCACCTCTGATGTCTTCGCGCGTACAACTGATCTTACGGATCTGGGAAATTCCAAGATTACTCCTGCAGCTGTGGTACAGGAAACCACGACTATCTTCAAGAGATGCGGCAATTCGTCGGCAGCGGAGATCCCAGCTCAAGTCACTAGACCCCGATCCAAGCCATCGGCGACCCAGATCTTGGTAGTCGTACATCTGGATACGAGAAGCTTCGTCTTGGCAGTTGTCAGCCGCTTCCGCACCCCAGGTTTCCCCATGTGGGTACGATGGCCCACGCAGGGCTGAGAAGGTCGAGATCAGTCTCTGGTAGTCTTGCGGCGACTAAACTAGCGAGAGGTCATATGGAAGCCTATCATATCTCTGAGAAAAAGAAAAAGATCCTTGTCCTTCTAGAAGGGGAAGTCCAAGCAGTACGCCGGCACCTTGAACTACACCGCAATAAACATCTTGTGGCAGCCCGCTCCATGTTACTACACTCTTGCCGAACGTCTTGGAAATATCGACGGCGTCCGCCATCGATGTGTTACTGGTCACAAAGGCAGCTGTGATCTGGCTGGAGCATTAGGTAGGCTTCGAGGCCAGTACTCGCTTGACTATCTCCATGATACTGAGGCTAGCAAGCTCAGAGTATTCATCTTAGTGCACTAGTACTATGTCGCTCTGTCCGACTTCGAGAAGCAAGACTACCCTGCAACTTGATGCGAGAAGGTAGCCTCCACGACACATATATAACCAGCCCATCTCCCCACCTTGATTACATTCACACCAGACCTCCAACAGAATTCATCAAACTGGACAATAAAAAATGTCTCGCGTTTCAAGGCTCGCCTCTTTCCTTGCGCTGGCCTCAACGGGTCTAGCTCAACTTCCGAACATCCAGCCGTTCACTGTTACTGGATCTCTGGACGGGTACGTCTGTCACGTTCGGATATGAATTCGATGCTAACATAATGCAGTTGTAATGCTAAGAGCACGGAGTACAATTCCGGTGGTTCAATCTCAGTCAACAATTGGAATATCGAAGTGCCACAGAATCTCATCGTTCAGTTCCCCGTAGTGTGGGCACCATTCCGGGAACTCTGCGATGCAGGAGCCCTTGGCTTCGAAACTACCGTCGTTGGTAACATTGTGGGCGGTAAAGTTATTGCTGGACAGGTTTCAGTCGCCCAACGTTTCGGTCTCGAAGGCAGCCAAGGATATATCTCGGCAATCAACGATGACGGTACGCTTCAGATCGCCAGTGGTCCAACTGTCCGAATCAATGACCCTGATGGTCTATTTGGACCCCAGTATAACTCTCAGAAATACTGGATCGCCGACACAGCTAGTCCGTCGGTAACATCGTTCTCGGGATTTCCTATGTGTATTCCATACTCTGGAAACACCGCCAAGTGCTCGAGCTCGAATCGGCCCAACAGTCAGTCGTTCACGCCCCAAGATCCACTCAGTATGGTTCCATTCAAGGTCGGCGACTTCATTGAGTACTCTGGTCTCAAGGTTGGTGGCAATGAAATCCTCGCTTCGTCGATCGTGTGCATCAGCTTGCACATCACGACACAAGCTAGCGAGAGTGTACCCAACTACATTCGCGTTGAGGATTTCCTTATTGGCGTTCCTGACAACTCACCGAATGTGGAGTTTGCCGATATCCGCGTGATCGGTTTCCTGTCCAGCTGCTCTGGCGCTATAGTCACTATCAGTGCTATTGACGTTGACCCTTGCACGGGCAAGGAGACATATCGCCCCATCGGCACAGCCACTCCAAAGCAAGAGACTCGTTGTAAATGGGAGGCTCGCATTGCTTCGCCAGCTCAAGCCCCCTTCACCCGCGAGTACCGCATTACGACCAACACACCGGTCAAGGAGACCAAGGACGGTATCAAGGCTGGTCAGTTCATTGCAGCTGTTAGCGAATGGATCTTCCCTGAGGTCGATGTGCCTGGAACCAACCCGCCAGCCTACCCATTCAACGATATCCGGGGATTGGTTCAGGGTGACTTCCTTGATGGCAAACAGTACGGACCTCTGTCACCGTTCCCAGGTCCCAGCCCGCCATCGCCATCCAAGATCTGCAGTCCCGCAGACATCCCAGACCCCAACGCAACCCCTTCGGCTACTCCCTCAGCTACTCCTTCGCCCAACCCCAACCCAGATGAGCCAGCTACACCACAGACTGCCCCAATTGCCTCTATCGCAAGCTTTGCGTCTGCTCTGCGCGTCGGCACTAGTGTAACACTCTTGGGTTCCAACACCGCTGAGGGCCTCAAAGACACTGATCTGAACTTCAGCTGGACCAAGACCGCGCCTTCCTCGGCGACCGTTAGCATCACCAACGCCAACAGCCCCAGCGCCACATTCCTCGCACCCAAAGTGACAACCGAGACATCCTTTACCTTCGAACTCACCGTCACCTCCAAGACCGACGCCACAAAGACCAGCAAGGCAACCGTCACTGTCAAGATAAACCCCACCTTGGCTGACACCGTCACCCTGGACACGTACACCTGGGAGTCGAAGCAATCCGGCAGCATCACTGCGACATGTACCTCAAATGTGAAGAACGGAGATAACAAGGTCATGACGCTGCTTCTCAACGGTACCATAAAGCGGACTATGGTAGCGGTGAACGGAAGTCCAGGTAAATGGACATACAGTGCTAGGGATACCGCGAGACCGAACAACTTGAAGTGTGTGAGTGATTTGAAGGGAGAGAGTGCGGTGAGGCAGGGTACTGCGACGACGAGAAGAAGGAGAGCTGTCGTTTGGTAGAGGATGATTGATGCATGTAACGATTTACGAATGTTCAATGAGTACGCGAACCTTTTGTTCTTGGCACACGCATGACTGTCTGTGAAGGCTACATCGCTGTTCAGCTCTCGGCACCGGGCTGAGGTTGTGATTTCATGCTTATCTTTCTTGCCAATCACGTCTTGCTGCCTCCGCCCCCATGGCTGAGCCCTGAAGCCTTCTCTGCCTCTGCACCTGACATGCTTATAAGGCCCAGCATGCCCCGCTGGTGGTTTTCGCAATATTGCGCTTGACCCCTCCACATCGCTTCTCAGCCTTGTTAGCTATGGAGTGCAAAAGTGAAAACATTGGAAACGCCATCCCTGATATCGCTGGTGTTGGGGTGAGTTCTTATTCGACGAACATGACGCTTGTTCTTATTCTTTTGAGATCATTCTAGCCTTTGCAATTCTAGCCGGCTTATCTTTGGTATTTGCAGGCATAGGCTACTGTGCAACTCTGCAAGCAAGATGGAAGCACCCCGACGCCTCAGACAATCTAATGTCTGGAAATGATCGGAAAAAGAAACAAATGCAGTTCTTCCGTTTGCGGAGACTTGAACTCACAGAGAAGGTTCTTGGATCAATTAGCGAAGTTCAGCTATTCAACGGTAATAAATTCCCCGTAACTGCTGATGTAGTTGCGCAGTTGATAATCTGAGCAGGGATCGCGCTCCTCATTGCTGCAATAGTCCAGAGGAACAGCCTAAGCCTTTATCATCTTCATGTAGTTTACGACACTGTCAATTTTACAGCGTAAGTGAACGTCACCCCGTATTTCTCTCTCACTGAATGTCGGCAGCGTGTCATTTACGGCCTCGATATTTGTCTTCTGGCTTTCTCGAAAGATCCAAAAGCAGAACGGCGACAACAGGCATCGGAACAATACCCGACGAGAATCTCCACAGATACGGCGTTTACCCTGGATGAAGTTTCTTGTATCCAATGCGCTGTGGATCACCGTCTTTTGCATACTCTATCTGGTCTTTGCGGTCGTTTTCGGTAAAGCCTTGGGAAGATGGGATGTCAATGAATTTGGCTTTTGCTACCGCGACTGGGGTATCACAAGTTCAGTCCAACCACATCCTGAGGCCGATCATATATACGTTAGCATCACCTGCTTGTACATGTTCAGCTTACTATATGCAAGCCTCCTAGAGTCGCATAAAACCACGCTTTTTGCTGGCACATTCTGGCCTCTCCCCTTTCGAGAGGTGTACAACGCATATGTTGGCGGCATGGCTTTGTACGAGACGAAGGTCAATAGGGCGATCGGAGCTTTCTTGACCAAGTGCATCCGCCTCTTCCCAGTCTTGATAAGAACCGAGATCACAGGGATATCTTCAAGAATGCCTTCGCCTTCGATTTTCGTTCTCTACAACTTATCAACAGAACTGGGGTTAGTGCTTGTTCCCCTGTTTCAATTCTTGCTTCATTTGTACATGGTATGGGCGATTCGGTCTGGAAACCGCATGTACCTCCAGGGCGAATCCGAAGACACCTGGGGATTTGGCCAGGTCATAGCGCTTGTTCAAATCCTCCCAATACTGAAGGGCTTTACGAAGGACTACATAGGTAAGACCGCCATAAGGAATTTGCACATTTGCTGATACAGACAGAGTATCGGAAAGAGACAGCGAAGTGGAACCAAGAAAATGGCGAAAGCGGAGGTACTAGACTTACTATAGGAATATGTGACCTTGAGAGCAGTGGATAATAATGCCGGGCCCCAAGTGGAAGTTATGCCAGAGAACTACTCTCATGTAGCGAACGGAGACAATGCCGAAATTATCTAGAGAGGAGATTAAGGGGTGGATGGAAACTTCGATAGCGTACATCTAGTCTCAACTGCGAACCGTGAAAGTGTTGCTGTCTTCAACACTTTACGCTGAGATACCCTTTCTGGCAGTGCTGTTTATAGCAACGTGGAAATTTGGTGCTCTAGAGGAGTCATAGCTGTTGGCACCGCCCCTCATAGTCATCCAGGAAATCGTGACTGTAATCAACGCTTCCCAACATTTTGCCTGACCTGGCGATGTGACCCACGGGTAATGGACGGGAAGAAGACGCCTCGAAAAGAACTCAACCGTGGATCGCATACAGCTTTCGACAGAATGCGAAAGTATTGCCTTTTGCGGGTATCTCAGGGGCTGGCGGGACGATCCAGGGTATTATTGCGGGAGCTTGTGTGGTGTGGATGTCTAGCGTGAACAACAAGACATGTCAACACCTCACGCCGTCTACTCACTCACCCACGATATGGCGACTGCAATCAATGGATACTGTGGAATCTGCTCGTTATGGTAGTATCGTGAAGTACCGTTCCATGGGAGGCAGGTCGGCGACATGACTGCGAGATGCGTCATGCCGCTGTCGTACCGTGGAATTGTTGACATCGAGGCTGCAATGGCTCGTCTCTACACCCAGGTTTCGCAGCAGTGATCAATGTTTTCTTCAAAACTTGCTCTATACGGCGTGTTCGTGCATGCGCGACTGAAAACTCTTTAAGTTGAGTCAGGCGTGAACGGGCGAAGTATATCTTTGTATCGTGGTGCCGCGGGTGGTAGAGGGCGATGGATGGCATCGGTCCTTTTAGCGACCGCGAAAAGTCCGCCGCAATCCATAGTTTTTCATCTAAACTGCCTTGTCAGGAAGTCGCCACGACAAATGGTGTGTAGTACAGAGACGGTATAGGAGTAGGTGGAGCGGCCCAGGTGTCGAAGGATGCGGATTGCCACTGTGGCGCCGTCATGCGTGGCTCACAAGGCACCGGAACGCCAAACCGTCCTCTGTAATTTCCATGGATTTCTGCTATGATCGACGGATAATCTCAGAACCTGCTCAATTGGGAGACATGAAGTGGAATCTTTCTGGTATACGGTACATCAGCTTAGTGAGTCGGTGGCCTTATGACACCAACGCTTGTGAGGTCGGACGTGAGACAGGCTTGTCGCGTGGAGAATTGACCACGGATGCATTGCCGGGCGGTGAAAACGTTCCCGCACAAAAACAAACCATACATCAAGTCGAGATGTCCGTTGACACGGGCTGCCTTGACCTCTGCGTGGTGTTATTTTGAGTTTGGCGTATTCAGGTACGATGCTTCCAGCTCTTCCGGGTGGACTGAGGACGCTGACGCCAGCGTGTAGGTAACGGGGCTAGGGGGGTCCGCCGCACCACGCCCTGTGGGACTGTGACGGCGAAGGGATCCAGTGTGGGCCTCGGATGTGATCGTGATAACAGTGCGATCGTGTCTGTGGCCGCGATTAAGAGTATTTTGCTGTGGGCCTATTTCGGAAATGCTTGCGGGTGCGGGATCGGCCATGTCGAGCTCGCAAGACCAGACGAAAAGCGATAACGAGCGTACTGCGTATTCGGACCGGAGTGAGGTACGCCCGAGAATAGACAGGCAGCAGGCTTTCCAAGGTTCTCTCGTGGCAAGTGTGGCGTTTCGAGAGCATGACCAGAACTGAGCCACAGAAACGTGGTCAAGAGAAGCACAGTGCGAGCAGCGCCTGAGGGCCTCTGCGCGTCCTGAGACGACGCCTCTCCTCTCCCACACCTCCCTAATGAGCACCATGACCCAATGAGTCTCTTCTCGTCCTTTATTATCGAGCCCGTTGTGCGCCATGCACGCCGCTTCTCAGGCGTTGGCGAGGCGAGCCATGACGGAGCTCGGTCTCTGGCATGTGACAATCACGACTCTGCGTCTGCGGCAGTGCCACGGCGGGAGCACGAAACGGACGCGGGCTCCGTGAGCGCACGTGAAAGAAACAGCACCGAAGCCCTGGGCGACGGGTTCCGACGTTACTCGTCGTTCTCGCAGCGGCCTCGCAGCGCGGTTGTTGACGAGGAGCAGAGCCATGACGATCTGCCAATAGACACCCCAGTCGACATGTCCGCGAATCCATCCCGCTCCCTCGCTGATCAGTTCCGGCACCTCGAGGTCGACTCGTCACGCTCGACCACGACTGCACCGTCGCCCTCGTCGCTCCGTCCCGCCAGCACCCCCAGCCAGCATGCCAGCGCCATGGCTGAGCTGCTCCCCGCTGACGATGGCATGGCCCATCTCCGCGAGCGCATCCACGAGATCCGCGCCCTGAGCATCTCCGACCAGGAGCGCGCCCGCATGATCCACAACCTCATGACGGAGAAGTACAACCACATGCGCCCGACGTCCCCCGCGAGCTTCATCTCACACGACCGCCCCTTCACCCCGACCTCCGGCCAGTCCCTCTTCTCCGACGTCCATGCGTCATCGCCCTACTCGTCCACCACAGACGTGACCCCCGAGATCTCGTACAATCTGCGCGAGGGCGACACGAACCCCACGTATCGGCCCCATCACGACCACGGCGCAGAGCACGGCGAAGACGACGAGGAGGACAGCGCCGAGGGGGAGCTTGTGCTCGGCTGCCAGCATTACAAGCGCAACGTCAAAGTGCAATGCTTCGAGTGCCGCCGCTGGTACACGTGCCGACACTGCCACGATGCAGTCGAGGACCACAACCTGAACAGGAAGCTGACACAGAACATGCTGTGTATGGCATGCGGTACGCCCCAACCAGCAGCCGAGGTGTGCAAGAACTGTGAGACGGAAGCCGCATGCTACTATTGTGACATTTGCAAGCTCTGGGATAACAACAGCAAGAAGAAGATCTACCACTGCCCAGACTGTGGTATCTGCCGGCGAGGAGAAGGTCTGGGCAAAGACTTCTATCACTGCAAGGTACGTCCTGCTTTAGACGCACTTTGGACTAGACTGATTGTGTGCAGAGTTGCAATGTTTGCATATCTATCTCTCACGCGACCTCGCACAAGTGCCTCCCGCGTGCCACCGAGGGCGACTGTCCAATCTGCGGCGACCATCTCTTCACTTCGTCTACTGCTGTCGTGTCAATGCCTTGCGGCCACTATCTTCACAAAGGGTGCTACAACCTCTACATGCAGACTGCGTACAAATGCCCAATTTGCAAAAAGAGTGCTGTGTGTATGGATCTGCAGTGGCAGAAGTTGACTCAAGCAATTGAGGGTCAGCCCATGCCAGAGCAGTTCGCAAACACACGGGCAGTTGTCCAGTGCAACGACTGTTCAGCAAAGTCTTCTGTCAAATATCACTGGCTTGGCAACCAATGCGGTACATGCGACTCTTACAACACCAACGAGCTCCGCATTCTGAACGGGCCAGAGAGTGAAGAAGCTGCCAATGCGATACTAGACGCCGACCTTGATTCAGGCTCGAGATCGCCTGTGAGCGTCAGCTCGCCCTCCTCCCAAGCACCACTTCGTTCGCCTCGGTACTATTTTCAACCAGATGAGCCTGAAGAGACATGGCTACCAGGTCAGCTGCCCTCTTTCCCTTTCCAGATGCCGCAGTTTCCTGGCAGACCGCGCATGCCGCAGATGCCTCAGATGCCACAATTTCCATCTCTACCGCAGTTCCCACCGCTGCCAAACTTCCCACAGATACCGCAATTTCCACAAATGCCTCAGATGCCTCAAATGCCTGATGCTGCACAGCAAATGCTTGAACGCGTGCGCCAATCCTTCGATGCTTATCTCAACCCAACGGGAGATATTCGAGCTGAAGATGTGCCCTTCATCGATCTCAGCAACGACGACCGCGCCGAACGTCCCGCGACAGATGGTACCACGGTTAAGGAACCGTCACTCCCGCAGTACGTTCTAGAGCGGTTCACGCAGTCGCTCGTGCGCTTCAGGAACGATTTGAATCCGGCTTTATTCGAAGAAATCCCGACATTGGATCTTTCGCAAGATCGTGATCCCGAAGGATTGCAGTTCTGGGGTGAAGATGGTGGGCGGCTGAATCGCTTCGTTGCCGGCGATGAAGACGATGAGGATGACGAAGATGAAGAGAGTAGCAGCGATGAAAGCGAACACCACGAAGATGAAGACGACGATGAGGATGATCTTGATGTTACCAAAAAGCGTGGTAAGGAATTCGACCTGCCAGGTCATGTGTAAGGAGTTTGCGGAGCGGGCGTTCTGGGAAGGCAAAAGGATGTTCTACGAATATTGCTTTGGTGCGGGCCTGAATAACAACCTAAAAATTCACTAAAAGCCATTTTATAAAGCAACAGATACCCAAATAGAAACACTTTGTTATTGAGCCAAACGCATCATGGTGTTCCAGTTACTCCAGAGCTTGCACAAGCCTCGACTCACGTGCGCCATGGTCCGTGCTCGACGCGCTAAGTAAGCGGGCACACTGGCGGCATCCGATTTTCGAATATCGTGACTTTTCGACCTCCAAGCCTCAAACTCGCATCCTCATCGTCGACTAACCCCCGCAGCGAGAACCTCTGTCAGTATGTATTGCGCTCCCAGTCTGTGTTCAAATCACTCGATTTACGCACTAGTCGCGAATCGCAATCCCAGCTGGTTGCTGTAATGAGCATTTGCTAACACATTCTCCCTCCAGAAATGGCCCCAACCACCAAGTCCGCCGGCAAGAAGTCTGCCGGAAAGACCGGCCGCAGCGCCATCGCCGACGTCGTCGCCCGCGAATACACCATCCACCTCCACAAGCGCGTATGTTGATTCAGTTTTGTGAAGTCCACAGATGGTCTCGCGGAACCTTGGGTGGGTGCTCGACCAGGCCGATCACACTGGCTTGAGCATCTACCTTTGGTTACGCAGGCATTGGGCGGAAGACTGAGGAGAACATAAGGCTAATACATTGGGTATAGGTTCATGGCGTCAGCTTCAAGAAGAGGGCCCCCAAGGCCGTCAAGGAGATCCGCGCTTTCGCTAAGCAGGCTATGGTACGTGCTATGGAAGAACCACTGACCCATGTCACGCGCGCTCCGTGCGTGTGCTGTCATGGTGTCGTCAACCGTACAAACTCAGGCTAATTGTCTCGATGTAGGGCACCAACGACGTCCGCCTAGACCCCCAGCTCAACAAGAAGGTCTGGGAGTCCGGTATCAAGGGCGTTCCTTTCCGTCTCCGTGTCCGCATCTCCCGTAAGCGTAACGACGAGGAGGGCGCCAAGGAGAAGCTCTACTCCTACGTTCAGGCCGTCAACGTCAAGGACCCCAAGGGTCTCCACACCCAGATTGTTGAGGATGCTTAGAGGAACCCCGCGAATAAGTGGGAAGGATGATGTGCATATCAAAAGCATGGCGTTCCGGCGGGTTGTGCTGAGTAGCTACTATGGATATCTAGAGCGAAAGGCTGGTGAAATGATACTTCAATGACAGATCATGCCCCGCCACGTTTGATGGACTTGGAGACTTGAACCACTCTAATTGCCTGTTGCCAAAATGAGTGATGCGTTCGACATAAAATGCTCGCGATGGACAAAGTCTTACCATAACTGACAGCAACGCAGACATTGCCTAGATAATGCCAACTTGTTCACTACTGCGCACAGGAGGTAAGCTTGATAGTATAGTAGTGAGCTGCCACATGCAGGTCATGTTCGGCTTCTCGCGCTTTCCCAGAAAGTACCTTGCATAAGCGGCTCTACGTAGCTCGGCCCTGGGGGGAGCCGAACATTAGGTGCTTACCAAAGCCTTGGATACTGCTCGGCATGTTAGTTGCTCCAATAATTTCTCAGCAGACGATATAGATAAAGCATATAGAGCGACTTCCAACATGCACTTTGTATATTCTCGACCTTCATCAATCATCCCCGGTTGACGTCAGACACTCGTCTTACCCCCGCCTGTAACACGCGAACCACCAACTTTCACAACCCAACTATCGCACCACATAACCATATCCTATCCTGAAGAACGACCGCGAACATGGTAAACTTCAACATAGCTTACACCTCCCGTATCAATCCAGCCGGCGCAACACCGGTCCTCAACCAAGCACAAATCTGGGCCGGCCTACAGCGCAAGATCCGTTTCGCCCAAGAATTCGTCCCTGTAATTGAGAGCTGCGACGTACTCGAAGAAAAAGATGGTGTAGTAACCCGGGATGTCAAGTTCAAGAAGGGAATGGGGCCCAAAGACCAGGCCAAGGAAGTTGTCAGGAGCTACTGGCCGAGTTGGGTAAGCACAAATCGTTCGCAAAGTCGACGTTTTTGGCTGATGATGTTTCAAGGTCGATTTCGAACAGGAGGATGGAACGCATATTCGCAATATCGTCTCTGATGGCCCGTCTGGCGAGATCGAGGACTTGAACATGACGTATATGTTTGAGTTTGTTGTGCCGCATGTGCAGGAGGGGACTCCGGAGGCGGAGAAGGAGATTCAAAAGTTCAAGGGTGTAAGTACTTACTCTTCCGTCGGGACTGCGCACATGAGATGTGCTGAGGTTCGGTTAGTTGCTGACGAAGTGACAGATGGCAAAGAAAGCGGTCGAGAGCAGTATTGATGCTATTCGAGAGATGGTCAAGGACGGGAGGATCAAGGAGTGAAGTCGCTTGTAGGCTCATGGAGAGGCTGTATCTGCACCTGGGTAATCAAACGATTCCACATACTGAAGAATTATTTTTTACTACGACTAGCCAGCAAGCGATAGTGTTGTGCAAAAGCGATGTCCGCTGCATCGCGCGATCCCCACATGTACGACGAAACAACAAATCTCTCTGTCCATTTGTCCTGCTTTAGAGCCTTCATAGCCATCTCTCTGTTGCTCTCAGTGCGAAATAACTGAGCCAATTGCACAATACCTGGTAACATGCGCTTTTCGACAAACTCATCTAACAGGCCCTCCTGTTCACATAGCGCCATCATCAGCACGTTGTATATGAACCTGGAAGATAACGAGATACTGTACGTTTCCGCTACCTTTCTCAACCCAGCATCGACGATGATCGGTCTCGCCCTAGAACCGTGAAGTGAGTCATCTATATGGCGACCAGTGTTGAGGTAATCGAGACCTCTCATGAGGATGCGTCGCATTTCGCTGAGAACGTGGAAGTCTGAAGTTCTGTCACACGCTCGGCAGGTACACTCAAAGCGCAGTATGCGGTGACGCTCGTCCCTAGTTCTGTAATCAAAGTCTGGTTCGTAACAAAAGAGTATCTCGGCGCCGGCTTCGATGTCACGGGTGGCGTAGCTGATTATGGAGTCGTCGGGTTGAGCGTCATCTGGGATCTTGCAGTTGGGAAGGCAAGAATGATTGAATCGAGAATGCAGTAAGAAGAAGCCATGCGCCTTGTCAGGCTGTGCGGGGATAGTGAAGGAGTTTTCTGAAAAAGCCCTCTCCGTGGTTGAAAAAATGCCGTCGCCATTGTCTCGAACAATGAGGAACTGGGCTTTCTCTGTCTTTGACAGTGCGTAGTAGGCGGCGAGCACATCTCTTTCCTCGATCATCCAGTGGGGCTTCCGGATGACGAAGAGAGGCTTTTTTTGTAGGATCTTTTCTCCTTTGAGGATCTTTCGCGTGGCAAATACACCCCATCCTTTTCCAGGTGAGACACCGAGTCTGAAAGGAGCATCGCTGGGGACTTGGATGCTGTGGTAGGCTGCCCAGGTGATGCTGAGGTTAGGCCATGCTCGGCGACGCGAATTCGGTTCGACTTACGGTGGTCAGCAATATTCTGGTGTGAATCCATGGCTCTCGATCATATCTTAGCTCTGCAATGGCGGAAAATGTGAATTACAGTTTGAAGAAGTAGCCGGATAAAACCTGTCAATGATATGCTGTGCCACAAGCGAATCTGCTGCGAAACGATTGGCAGCTTTGTAACGAACAGGCGGCAAGGCACGCATCATGCAAGGAGCCCCTTGATGGATCACTCCATTGTCTCTGGCTTAATACTGCATTCTGATGTATTTAGTACAGGCCTCTCAACATCTCGCGTCGACGTAAGGTTGCATCTGGCGCAGATGCAAGCCATCAGATGTCTCGCATATATCCGACGGGCTGCCTGGTAAGGCGTTCAGCTGTGACCAAGCTGTCCAGTAGTCTGATTGAGACCACCATCGGCCACTTGGTCGCTCGATCGAATCATGACAGATGTGTGTCTTGACGATAATGAGAACATCAAGTTGTGTGAAGCCGTATAACATCTTTAGATACTGCTTTGTTTGGGTGTAAATGGTGCCGTGATCGCAGAGTGGGTAGTCTTGGTCGCCATGGCGGAATTTCAGTGAGCCGGACATACAAGTCAAATGTAGTGACCGTGTCAAGATAGCTGCATCACGTCATCTGCATGCATCGACAATGCGGCGGAAGTGGTGATGGAGGAGGAAGGATGCAGGGTATCAGTCGATCGCGTGTGGAGCCCTGAGCACTAGTGCTTGCCTCTCGGCACGGGTAGTTCCAGTTGACAAACGCGACTTCACCGCGAAACCCGTGCCTCTGCAACAACGTCAGCGCCTCACACCCCCACCACTGCGAGCAGCCAGGAAGACGGACCCGATTCAGGTCTAGCAACGCCCGACTATCAGTAGCCTCAGCAGCAGCTCGGCAAGCGTGCCCGCACAATCTCTCCGCCGCCCAAGTGCCCCACCTTTGTCTGTACACAACTTCTGCAAGGCAGCGAACCTTTGCGCGCCCGCCCTCCGCCCACGCCCCACGCGCCCATACGCAACCGCTGCAAGAAGCTGAGCCCACGCTTGAGCTTCTTGGGGACATAGACGATATCACAAGGCTGATTGGGAGCTTTTCCCGCCGCGCTGCAGCCCGCCATGTCTCTGTCAATTGAAGAGCTCGACGCCACAGTGCGCGCCTTCTACGAGGGCCGCGGTGAGCAAGTACGTATCTATGCGACCCCGGCCAAGGCGTCCCATGAGAACACGGCTAACATGTCGCCCACTATAGCAAAAGCAAGCTCAGGCTACGCTGAACCAGGTAGGCGTCTGCAATCACCATCGCTGTAGGCTTGTCCCGCTAACCCTCGCATAGTTCAAAGAGAACCCAGATGCATGGCTTCTTGTTGACAAGATCCTATCCGATGCGCAGTACCCGCAGACGAAGTGTGAGTGCAGCGACGTGCTACAAGGCTGGTGGTCCTCGTTGCTAACAGTCGGCAGATCTCGGACTCCAGGTTCTCGACAATGTCATCATGACTAGATGGAAGGTGCTGCCTCGAGACCAGTGTCAGGGTATGCTACAGAACACTCTGTCTTCCGAGCGCTGCTAACCCAGTCAGGTATCCGAAACTTCATCGTCAACTTGATCATCTCGCTGTCCAACAACGACGAAAGCCTCCGCAACGAGCGCACCCTCCTAAACAAGCTCAACCTCGTCCTCGTCTCCGTCCTGAAGCAGGAGTGGCCCCACAACTGGCCGACCTTCATCAACGAGATCATATCGTCCTGCCACAGCAGCTTAGGAATATGCGAGAACAACATGGTCATCCTGCGACTTTTGTCTGAGGAAGTCTTTGATTACTCCGAGGAGCAGATGACTTCGGTCAAGCGAAAGGAACTGAAGCAGAGCATGTGCGACGAGTTCACGGCCATCTACCAGCTCTGCTCAGAGGTTCTGCGGACAGCCACCGAGGCGTCTCTGATTAAGGCGACACTCGAAACCTTATTGCGCTTCCTCAACTGGATCCCTCTCGGCTACATCTTCGAGACACCTCCAAGCGGCCAAAGCCTGATCGAGACCCTGCGAAGCCGATTCCTCGAAGTCCCCGATTTCCGCAACATCACCCTGAAGTGCTTGACTGAAATCGCCGGTCTACACACAGAACCTGCATACGACGATAAGCTTGTTTCTATGTTCACCGAGACATTGACGGCCATCTCGAAGATCATACCTCTTTCCCTGGACCTGAAGAGCACATACTCTTCAAGCAATGGTCGGGACCAGGAGTTCGTTCTGAATCTCGCGCTTTTCCTGACAAATTTCTTCACCATGCACCTGAACGTCATCGAAAACCTAATGAATAGGGACTTCCTCACGCATGGCCATTTCTACCTTATTCGCATAAGCCAGATCGACGATCGCGAGGTTTTCAAGATCTGCCTGGAATACTGGACCAAGCTCGTCTCGGAGCTCTACGATGAGATGCAGGCGCTTCCCATAACGGACATGAATCCTCTCCTGAACATGGGCATCCCCGGCAACGGCGGTCGCGAGTTGGCCAACTACCCTCTACGGAAGAACAAGTACACCGAGATTTTGTCCAACCTCCGAACAGTCATGATTGAGAAGATGGTGAGGCCCGAGGAAGTCCTCATCGTCGAGAACGATGAAGGTGAGATCGTCCGTGAATTCGTGAAGGAGAGCGACACGATCCAGCTGTACAAGTCCACTCGCGAGTGCCTCGTCTTCCTTACCCACTTGGACGTTAACGACACCGAGCAAATCATGTCGGAGAAGCTGGCCCGCCAAGTCGACGGCTCAGAGTGGTCATGGGCTAACTGCAATACCCTCTGCTGGGCCATCGGTTCCATCTCTGGTGCCATGAACGAGGAGACAGAGAAGCGCTTCTTGGTCACCGTCATTAAGGATCTACTCGGTTTGACTGAGATGAAGCGAGGAAAGGACAACAAAGCCGTTGTCGCCAGTAACATCATGTATATTGTCGGTCAATATCCTCGATTCCTCAAGGCCCACTGGAAGTTCCTCAAGACAGTCGTCAACAAGTTATTCGAGTTCATGCACGAGACCCACGAGGGTGTACAGGACATGGCTTGCGATACGTTCATCAAGATCGCGAACAAGTGCCGACGACACTTTGTTGCTCTTCAGCCCGGAGAGACCGAGCCCTTCATCGACGAGATCGTTCGCAACCTGAGAAAGATCACCGCCGACCTCTCACCCCAGCAAGTCCACACTTTCTACGAAGCCTGCGGTTACATGATTAGCGCACAAGGACAGAAGAGCATGCAGGAGCGCCTGATCGCCGATCTGATGTCCCTGCCAAACTCCGCATGGGACAACATTATCGCCCAAGCTAACCAAAACCCCGCTTGCCTCCAAGATTCAGAAGTCATCAAGATTGTTGGTAACATTATGAAGACTAATGTCGCAGCATGTGGTTCAATTGGACCCTACTTCTACCCCCAGATCGGCCGGATATACTTCGACATGTTGACAATGTACCGCGCGAGCTCACAGCTTATCGACGAAGCTGTCCAGCGAGAGGGTAACGTTGCAACAAAGATGCCCAAGGTCCGCGGCCTTCGTACGATCAAGAAGGAGATTCTGAAACTTATCAACACATACGTTGAGAAGGCCGACGACTTGGAGATGATCCACAATAACATTGTGCCGAAGCTGCTAGAAGCTGTCTTGATTGACTACAAAAACAATGTTCCCGATGCTCGCGAGGCCGAAGTGCTGAATGTCATGACGACGATTATCAACAAGCTACATGTACGTTGGCGCCCCAATCTGAGCAAGCACATGGTCGGACTCGCTCAGCCACTATCAAAACATATGCTAACCTTATCGCAGAGTATGATGGAGGATCAAATCATCAACATCATGGACAGCGTCTTCGAATGCACCTTGGACATGATCAACAAGGACTTTTCGGAATACCCCGAACACCGTGTCGAGTTCTTCAAGCTTCTACGCACCATCAACCTCCGCTGCTTCCCGGCTCTGCTTCGACTCGATGCCCGATCATTCAAGTTTGTTATCGACTCCTGCATGTGGGCAAGCAAGCACGACAACCGTGAGGTTGAGAGCGCCGGTCTGTCCATGTGCTTCGAGCTGGTTTCCAACATGTCCGAAACAGACCAGCAAACCTGCAACTCCTTCTTCCAAACATTCTTCACGACCATTCTTCAGGATGTATTCTTCGTGGTCACTGATAGCGATCACAAAGCCGGTTTCAAGTCCCAGTCGATGCTGCTGGCTAAAATGTTCTGGCTTGTCGACTCAGAGAAGCTGCAGGGTCCCATATACACGTCGCCAGATATGGCTCAGGCAGGCACCCCGAACCGAGAGTTCCTGCGGAACTTTGTCGGCAACCTGCTGGCGACTGCCTTCCCCAACCTCCAGACGTAAGTTCTATCCATTAGCTTGTATGACCCATGCTAATCAAATTCAGTGCCCAAATTGCATCCTTCATCGATGGACTGTTTGCGACCAACTCCGACCTGAACCGTTTCAAGGTCATTCTGCGCGACTTCCTGATCTCCCTGAAGGAGTTCTCTGGCGACAATGCTGAGTTGTTTGCCGAGGAGCGTGAACAGGCTGCCAAGACCGCGAAGGAGCAAGAGCGTGAACGAGCTATGAAGGTCGGTGGTCTGCTGAAGCCTTCGGAGATGGATGATGATGAGTTGTGACTTGACGTCGAGTTGAACGCAAATGTGGCTACGCGCACGCCCTATGATAGCGCACGCGCTCCCCACGAGTCTGCAGAAAACAAACGCTCCGACGATCTTCTCGATGGATGGGACATGTATGGCTTGTGAGTATCAGTGGTTATGGTGACTGAAGAGACGGTCGCGACGCTGCGTTGGATGGGAAGCGTAGAGTCAGTCGTATCGGCAAACTTGCGAGGGTGGGAAAATGGGTTCGTTTTGGTCTAATACCCTATAGACCTGTTACTTGTTCATTTGATACATGATTACCTAGCTGGCATGGACGTAGCCTGGCTTGGCTCACAGACTAAAACTGATGGGAGCGCTGTAGGCGTCGAGGCAACGTCGTATTGAGAGTGGAGAATAAAGCTCAAGTATTGAATCATCTGCCAGTATTGTCTCCTTGGTCCTGCCCTGCGGCTATTGCGCATGTATGTATGAGCTCACTCCCTGGCCGTCCCACTGTAGGTTGGATGTGAGATAGGTAGCAGCATGCAGTATGACGAGACCTGCCGGAATACATGGCTCTATCGCGGAGAATCTTGCCTTCCCGTATATACAGACCCACATGCCGATGAGCCTCGATAATGGCTGTAGCAGGGCGCGCGTGCGAACATGATGAGCGGCGTGTGCATCGGCAGTCGCGATCAGGTGCCCGGATGCAATCCTCTGCGGTTGAGCTACCTAGCTGAGCTAGCAGGAGCCACAGCTGGCCCTTACGTAACCCGGCGGCGCTGCCACTACAACGTCGGACGCGTCAATTGGGCAGACAGCGCGACGGGACTACTGTTCGGCAGAATATCCGCATGCGACACCTCCCCTGCCCCATGCGACCGACCTAACGACATCCGTCTGTGAGCAGTTGCTGAACCTCGTGGCGGCTATACGCCCGCTGATTCGCCCGCGCTCTCCAGTCGTGTGAACGACATGGGCATTCCGCCCTTCTGCCAGCGTATGCACAATCTCGTGGCCCTCCTACAATGAGTCGTCGGTGGCGTTCTCAAGCCAGGCCCCTCGTTCGGCATCTTCCAAATACCTGCTAACACGCTGTCTGACCAGGCCCAAGCGAGTCTATGGATTGAGCGGTCCACTGCAGGGTACCGCCAGCTGCATCGTGAGTGACTTCACTTCTCGACTTCCCTACCAACCACGCACGGCCGTTCTTTGGGCTGTCACCAGCAAGCCTCATCACGTCTTGAGCTTTTCTCCTGTCTCCACTGCCGAATAGGCGGCGGCCGAAGACCACACACCTGACATCGTGGGTCCTGTATGGTTGGATCTGCAACGCAACCCGGAACTGGATCCATCGCTTGTGCATCATCGTATGCGCATAGCCGCGAGGCTTCGAGAACAACACTTTTGAGTTTCTTCTTGCTACTAGCATCATGTACGTCTCCCCATCATATGGAGACCCTTCAACCCCGCCCACTGGTGGTTTTGAAAAAGACAGCCTCATCGACGAGTCTTGCTTCCAAAGAAGACACTACTGACTCAGCACGCTTTTCCAGGAAGTTCGGAAAGCACATCCAGAAACGGCAACTGGAAATCCCAGAATACGCCGCCAGCTTTGTCGACTACAAAGCACTCAAGAAGGTCCTTATGCTTTCCCTGCTATCGAGGCTTCACTGATCATGAATTCCGTAGCTCATCAAGAAACTTAGCGCTACACCAGTGATACCTCCACAGAGCGAGGGTTTTCAACATGAATCCCTGGATCCGCAATCGTCTTTGCAGGCAAACAAGGCCACTTTCTTCTTCCGAGTGGTAGGTCTTTGTGCCAGCGACGTATACATAGATTCTTACTTGATGCGCAGGAACGTGAGCTCGAAAAGGTCAACACGTTTTACCTACAGAAAGAGGCAGAGGTATGTTCAACTCGTTGTGTGTGGGGTGTTCAGCGCTCACTTCTGTCGCAGTTGCGTCTGCGCTTGACCACGCTTCTCGATAAGAAGAGAGTCATGCAACAACACCCGCAGTCTGTCTCCAAGACATCCTCGCGATATGTTGCCCTCGAGGAGGGGCTAAAGCAGTTTAGCATGGATCTTAACAAGCTTGAGGTGATTGGTCCGCACGCACTCGGGGCTGCCCCCACTAACCTGACTTAGCAATTCGTGGAAGTGAACGAAACAGCCTTTTCAAAGATCCTCAAAAAGGTTCGATGCACCCACCCTCTGTTGTCAACGGCCTGCTAACATTGCCTAGTGGGACAAAACATCCAAAGTCCGTTACCATCACCTGCGCATCATCGACATTGACTGACTCCATACCAGTCAAGGGAAAAGCAGCTTTACCTCGCGCGCGCCGTCGAAGTCCAACCATGCTTCAACCGAGAAGTCATCAGCACGCTGTCCGACCAAGCAACCCAGGCACTCCTTGATTTCTCAGGATGGGCTGAAGGCGAAGGAGTACAAGCCCCTCATCCCACAGCCGAACCACGCGTCTCCGAACCTGCTTTCGAAGCGAAACTCGAGCTCGACAACCAATTTGTGCAAGCCATCAACACCGCGAACCAAGGCAAGATAGAAGAGTGCCTCGCCCGTCTGTCGACCCTCCCCGATGCAAGCGACCACATCTCTAGAGCGTTTCTCAGCACCGTTGCCGAAGCGCCAGAGTCTGCATTGAGGATTTTGCTCGATTCGAATCTTGTGAATCTCCAGCAAGAGGATGAGATCAACGAGCGAAATTGTCTCCATAAGTCGGCCATCAGCGGAAGGATCGAAGTACTCAAACTTGGCCTATCGAGCAACGTGGATGTGCATGCGACGGACGTCTACGGCAGAATACCATTGCATTACGCTTGTATGCATGGGTACGTGGAGCTGGTTCAGGAACTCATAAACGCTGCTCCAGAAACAGTGAACTTCCGGGATCAGGACAGCTTCACGCCCCTTATACATGCCATTGTGCACTCAAAGCTCGCTTGCGTGGAGATACTCCTTTCGCGAGGTGCTGATCTTACGCGTCTGGGTCCTGGAGAGCATGTGCCGCTCAATCTCGCATGCCAATATGCATCGCTAGAGATCCTCGAACTCCTTCTACAAAGGTCAGCAGAGATGCTTTCGGATGCGGAAGGGCTGTTCCCTCAACACTTGGTGGCACGATCGGGCAAGACGCCAGAAGCCTTGCTGATGCTACGGAAATACGGCGCCGACCTCGACCAGCCGGACAAACTCTACCAATGGACGCCACTCTTTCATGCTGCGAGCGAGGGTCATGTGGAGTGTCTTAAGACGCTACTTCAATGTCAAGTCGACGTAGACATTGTGGATGAGAAGGGTCTTTCCGCCATGTACTACGCAACATGGGAAGGGCATCTAGAGTGCATGCAGCTACTTGCTTCTGTTGGACGCGGTGTCGGGCTCATGACACAGAAACAGGCCTCGCCTCAAATATCCTCTCAGCTGTCCAGCTCAATGCCTACAGCCATGGATATTGAAGGCGATCCTGACGGTATTCCCGAGTTCATCCTACCACCACCGATCATACCCTTCCGAAGATATGGCCACAACTTCCTCGACACGAAGACGTTCGTAGTCATCAACTTCGAGAAGGTGGGCAAAGATGCCATTCGATTCTATGACGAGTCGAAGTATCCTGCTGCAAGGCTTACCATCTCCTCGAAGAGCTCCGATCTTATACCACGCAATATCCTGCTACCCATACAAGATGAGTTCAAGGTCATCTCTTTCCAGATCGAGAATCTCGATACCTTCTCTATCGACTTCGACGTGTATCCTACGATAGGATCAAAGGTTATCGCTCGCAGTGTGGCTTCTTCAAAGGTATTTACGGAGCGTTCAAAAAGCACGGGCCGTTGGCATCTCGAACTGTTTGACCCAAGACTACGAGCCATTGGCAGAGTCACCTTCGACTTCCAGGTGGTCAAGCCGTTCCACGGAATTCCGCTCGAGATTACACACTTTGCAACTTACTGGAAGGCTACTAGTCAACTGGACTCACAGCCGCACACACTCATCACCGGATCCAGCCTGTCTGGTGAATACGTCCGCCTGTTCGTCCAACTGACTGCAGATGGCATACCGGTGCTACATCCGAGATGGAAGGTCAATCATCACGGGCTAGAAGTTCCGGTCAACATCCTTACGTATGCGCAATTCGCTGCGATCGGCGTCGCGCAAACCACCACGGCCGCAGACCAGCTTGCTGCGGAACTCGGCAACAATGGTTCGATCAACATACCAAATATCTATCAAATCATGGCTTCTTCGTTCATTACGCTGAAAGATGCCTTGTCGGCACTTCCGGCTCACATTCATGTGGAGCTGCACGTTCTGTTCCCATCCCGGCTCGAAGAAGAACGCCTCAAACTCGGCCCCACGCACGACATGAACGCTTTCGCGGACAAGATCTTATCTGTAGTCTTTGAACATGCACGTCGATTGAGGGAGCAAGGCGCGGGCGAGATAGATGGGACACTGAGAAGTGTGCTGTTCAGCTCCTTCAACCAGGACATCTGCACGGTTATCAACTGGAAGCAGCCCAACTGTGAGTTCAATCATAGAACAATGAATGCAACAGATGCTAACATTGAGATAGATCCAGTTCTCCTCTGCAACGAGCTCGGAGCCGATACTTCGCAGTCGCCTTCTGGAAATACAAACATCATTCAAAGCAGCGGCCGCACAACAACGTCTGTAAAGGAGGCTGTGCAAATCGCTAGAGACAACAACTTTATGGGCCTGATTTGCAGTTCGCGTTTACTGGTGAGAGGAATACGACTCACTACGCAATTCAGTACTAACAATGACCAGTCACTCGCTCCTGCCCTGATCGAATCGATCAAAACAGCCGGCCTGGTCCTCGTTACGGACATCACCGATTCCCCAGCCGAAGATGCCGCCCAATCCGCGAGCCTTCATGTGGCAAATCCGCGTCGACAGAACACACCCGACGGAGTCGATGGCTATCTCAAGGGCAACGGCGTACTCTGCTTCAACGAAACGGTCGACATGTAGACAGAGGTGGGGATGATGGACAGTTTGGTGGATCGGTTGTGGGCACATGGGTGAATGGATAATGGTGATACAGTTCAGGCGTTGCGCAATAGACTGGATATCTCGTGGGAATTGCTATACCAGTAGAGGGAAGGGTGTCATGATGCTTTCATTAACAAGTAGTAACTGTTAGACGGCGTGTCTTATCCGGTGCAGCTGGTTATGGAAGCCGAATTTGTTTTAAAGGCGCGCGTTATGTTAGCAAATTCGATATGCAAGTGAGATTGTTCAAGCAGTACCGTGTCTGGGCAAGGTGGTTTAGCATGTGATGGGGCTCGGCAGTGTCGATGGTCGCCGCAAACCGACAAGGGTGTGGCGTCCCGGTTCCGATTCGCGCGACGCCTCCATCGAAAAATGTCGAACGACGACATTTGTGGCTAGAAGCGCATGGTCTGTTGCCGCTTGTCGTTCGCTTTCGCATCTCTGTCTGAGCGCCCTACCCTCTGCAGTGCTTGGACCCTGCCGACCATGGTATACACATAATGTCGACTCTGAGCGCCCTTACTAGTCCGCTCCTCCGAAGGACGTGGACTTGCCGAGCTTGTATACGGTCCCAACGACACACGACGCCGCAGCGACAAGGCCTATGGCAACAGCGAAACACGTCGGCCGGGCACAGTGCATTCTCGACCCGCCTTGGAGCGCAGAGGACATTTGCAAGCCAGGCCAATGAGGCAGCCAATGCCACGGCCAAAGCTGCGGGGAGGGGCTCAAAGGGCAGCAAGAGAAGGAGACGACTGCTGATAACTGGAGGTGGAGTCGCAATCGGCGCAGCTATCGTCACAGTAAACGACGATGCTAAACACGCCTATGTGGCAGCGCAGCGCAGCTACAGGGTGGTTGCGACGCTGGTACTCAACATAAGAGAGTATGTGCCTGGTGCAATCCAATTGAACACTCGATAGCTAATATACCTGTTCTCACAGCTATCGCGACATACTCAAGCGTGACGATGAGCCCGACTACAACGAGCAACTCAAAGCCTGCCACCTCCGATGCGCCAAACGTACCCTCCGCACGCTCGAGAAGAACGGCTCCATCTTCATAAAGCTGGGACAACATCTGAGCAGCATGAACTACCTCTTGCCGAACGAATGGTGCGATACCTTTATACCGCTACAAGACCAATGCCCGATATCCTCCTTCGAATCCATACAGGACATGTGCCGGCGAGACACGGGCCTGGAACTCTCAGACTTCTTCTCAGAGTTCGAGGAACGGCCCATAGGCGCGGCCTCGCTGGCTCAAGTGCACCGCGCAACAGTCCGTGAGACTGGCCAGAAGGTCGCCGTCAAGGTACAACATCCAGCGCTAGACGAATGGGCCAAACTCGACCTGGCTTTGACAAGCTTCTCCTTCACCACGCTTAAGCGCTGGTTTCCCGAATACGATTTGACCTGGCTATCCGACGAAATGCAACTCTCTCTCCCACAAGAACTCGACTTCGCCCTTGAAGGGAAGAACGCTATGCGCGCACGTGAGTACTTCTCCCACGTCCGCGATGTGCCCGTCGTCATACCTAAAGTTCTCTGGGCCAAGCGCCGACTGCTTGTCATGGAATACGTATCTGGATTCCGGACAGACGACCTCAAGAGCTTGGATGAACACGGCATTGATAGAGATGAAGTGTCGGCAGCCTTGGCTCGGATATTCAACGAGATGATCTTTGGCAGAGATGCACCACTTCATTGCGACCCTCACGGTGGAAACATCGCCATTCGACACAACCCCGCTCGCGGAGGCAAGTCCAACTTCGATGTTATCCTATACGATCACGGTCTCTATCGCGACATTCCCTTGCCCCTGCGACGCAACTACGCAAAGCTTTGGCTCGCCGTCTTGGACGCTGACGAAGCTGGTATGCGCAAGTACGCCTATGAGGTAGCAGGGATCAAAGAAGAGCATTTCCCTCTATTCGCGTCGGCAATCACAGGAAGAGACTATACCGTGCTGGCGAAGAAGGAGAGTGGCACAGGTGGCGTGATGACGAGCAGGACAAGTGAAGAAAAGAAAGTCATCGGAGATGCTTTGGGAGACGGGTTGATTGAGAGCCTGATTGAGCTGCTTGGACAGGTTCCGAGGGTGATTCTGTTGATTTTGAAGACGAACGATCTGAGTAAGTCGTGCCACTATTCTCCATCAGACCTCGATACTGACTATTCCTCAAGCGCGCTCTTTGGACGAAGGTCTACATACACGCCAAGGCCCCATGCGCACTTTTCTCATTCTAGCCCGGTATGCTAGTCGTACGGTTTACGAAGAGAGTTTGGACAACCTCAACGGCAGCGTGCTTTGGCCGAGCAACTTCCTTAGCTGGCTGGGCGCGTGGACGAGACACATGCGAGTCGAAATGCAATTGAGTGGATATGAGACGTACCTCAAACTACGGGCCCTGCTGGGTATGCAGAAGATTGAGATTGGGGATAGTTTTAGAGAGTAAGACGATGAGCGTGGAGTTTGGCGTGATAGAGATTAGATTTCAGCATATGGTTGCATTGGAGCAGGTGGATGGTTCGCACTAGATTAGGTGTACAGCGAAAAAAGTTCATTCTGAAACTTGAAAGTCATGTCTAGATGGGCACATGTGGCGGTGCAGCATTACAGTGAACTGACGGCAGTACCCACTCGGCCTGAGCATACGGCAATACGGAACAGGCGGGACGTGATCTGAGCTGGATCATACGTGTGGCGGTGCCGTTTACCCAGGAATGTGTGGCCTTGCATGTGGCTCGCGTCTAGACGAATGATAGTCTTGGTGTTTGACTGGTGGTTTGCAGTGTGTTTGAGGCGAGGTCGGGTGATAGGGTGCAGCTGAGGCGTCGCAGTGAGCGCCCAGAAGCTCGAAACATGTACGGACAAGACCAAGAAAACGTAGATGGGACTGGAGACAGTTCCAGCACCATGTGCGGCAGCAGAGATGTGGTCGAGGGATACGCTGTTATTTCGGTCCATGGATATGCTAGCGGGCGGTGACAGGGAGGTCGGGCGGGTTTGACATCATCGATGCCATGCGTCTCGTGGGCAAACGCAATCCTGACAGACACGCGTTCGCCATCCAGACAAGGAGTACACCTGCCAGGACTCTTGTTGCTACTATTCTGAACCCAATTCCCCGTGGAAAGCATATATCGCGAGTCGTTCGGCTCCAGTTGTCAGCAGTTCGCATCGGTCTCCCACCAGGCGGGGCAAGCGCCAAGGCAGCACAAGGCATCCTCGCGCAATCGCATCGTTCACGCCGCAGCGCTCAACGCCCTAGCCGCCGGGCCTGGACAGCAGAGACAGAGGCGGGATAGCGACTGGCAGCGATTGCAAAGGATTGTATAAGCAGCTGCCATCGCAGGCCGGGAGCTCTTCGGGCAGGACCGTGAACGCCCGCCGCGCCTTTGTAGACTACGCACGGCCGCTCTGGCACCGCACAGCCTCCTCCAGTACCTGTACTGCAGCACCCTCGTCGCTCCGCCGCAGCCCAGAGACGCCATACATCACCACCACCACGGCCCTCCGCGAAGAGGCCCCCCATACCACCGCGAGCTCTGAGAGCCGCCCCTCGACCGCCGCCTCCAGCTCCCGCTCTCCCGCACCTGCGCGCCCTGCTCGTGCGCTGCGTATCCGCGCATCATGGACGGCGCCGGCCAGCCCAACCTGCGCATCACCAGTACGTCTGACCTCCCGTGACCCCCGAGACGACACTGACACGATGCAGTCATCGCCGCCGATGGGCTCTACAAGCGCGATGTGTTCCGTATGTATGCCCCCAGCCAGGCCCATGGCGTCACGTCGCTCATGCATGTGCTGCAGGATTTCCGGACCCCTTCGCCGTGGCCACGATCAATGGCGAGCAGACGCGCACCACGAGCGTCATCAAGAAGACGCTGAACCCCTACTGGAACGAGAGCTTCGACATGTACGCTGCCCCGGGCCCGTCCCTCGCCTCCCACGCTTTCCCATGACGCTAACACACGACACAGGAAAGTGAACGAAGAGAGCGTCCTCGCGGTTCAGATCTTTGACCAGAAGAAGTTCAAGAAGAAGGACCAGGGCTTCCTGGGCGTCATCAATGTCCGCATAGGGTCGGTGATAGACCTCGACGCGGGCGGGGATGGTAGGCCTGATCCATGCCGCTCCTGCGCCATATGCTAACAAACCCTCAGAGATGCTTACGCGCGATCTCAAAAAGTCCAACGACAACATGGTCGTCCACGGCAAGCTTATCCTCAACCTCTCTACTAACCTCACCGCGCCCATCAGCCAAGGCGGCCAGAACGCCACCCGCCCGACCGCATCCCCGCACCCATCCGTAAACGGGGCTCCTGCTGGCGCTGTGCCAACTCCACAACAATCGACGACGAACCTCCACCCTCCTGACGTATATCCCGGCCAGCAACGACCATCAGTCGCAGGCCAACCCGCTGCCCAGCGTCTCAGCCAAGCGCCTCCAGCAGGCACGCCAACCGGCCCGCCCGCTGGACCTGGTCCCGCACCGAATGGAGCAAACCCCGCTCGCAACAGCGGCGGTGCATACAGCGCCTTTGAGGATGCGCAAGGAAGACTACCGAATGGCTGGGAGCGCCGTGAGGATCACCTAGGGCGAACCTACTACGTCGACCACAACACCAGGCAGACCACCTGGATCAGGCCAGGCGCAGGCTTCAACGAAGCAGACCAGCGCCGAGATGTAGCTGCGCAGACTCAACAGGAGCGCATGCGACATCAGAACCGCATGTTGCCCGAAGACCGAACGGGAGCCAACTCACCTACCCTCACCGAGCGCCAGCCATCGCCGCCCGCTGGCTCAGCCAACGCCGCAAGCATGATGGCGACTGGAGCGACTACTGCTGGTACAGGAGAGCTCCCGTCTGGTTGGGAGCAGCGGCATACCCCCGAGGGTCGGCCATACTTTGTTGATCACAACACGCGAACGACAACATGGGTGGATCCGCGCCGACAACAGTACATTAGGA